ACTGATGAGGGGCAGCGGTCAGGACACAGGGTCGGGACTTCCCCTTTGGTTCCAGTCCTGGGAACGTCATCCTATTTCGGTGCCTGGGATTCTTTGCCTAAAACACAGCCTGCAGAGACTCGTTGTCAATGAAGGAATGGACATTAGATCTTAGGGGCCAAATGTTATCACTGTTTGGTCACACACACACACACACACACACACACACACGCCCACACCTTTGTGCTTTATGACCCTCTCATTCCAGAAATGCGTCCTAACACGGGGAGGGACTTCACCATCTGTGGTGTTAGAAAGGTTGTATTTGCCAAAGATCCGTCCTAATATAAATTATACCCATTAAATTAAGCAGCTGCAACTAAGCTAACTTTCCTGTTGTTCCCCTATTGTACCCCCATCTAAGTATTTTCTTTGCCAATCTTGCCTAAAGTTTGTGTATAGGGTTGTAGGCATTATTACAGGCATTTTTATGGGCGGGGTTTGGGGGTAGCGAGCCAGTAGATGAATCTTTGCCACCTTACAATTTTATGTCAGTGTTTAGTTCAGATCAACCAAGATGTTGGGGGAAATGATAAATGTCAGAACATCTTGGAATCTAGACTCTCAGAAATAGGAGAAACTGCTGAGGACATCTGTTCCTTGCCCCTACCCAAACTCTCCTTGGAGCACCTTCAACAAGTGTCAGAGGATCCTGCCAACCCTGTACGCCCAGAGGTCTGGGCTGTGCACTGTGTGATCTGTCGGGGAGGAAGCCACAAAGCAGCTCTCCCTCCTGCTCATCTCTGGGGGAGAAGGCTGCCTCCAGCTCCTCCTTTGGATGGGGTGGGGAAAGAGAGAAGTGCCTTTTTGTTGTGGGTAAAACTCTTTAAAATATATATATTATTGAATTACATCATTATGACAAACTCTTTTAGTATAAAAGCAATTCATGTCGATCGAATGCAGGAAATTTGGAAAGCTGAAAACTGTACAAAGAACGAAACAAAACACCTACAATTTGATCACCCAGATTCCACACTGTCAATATATTGGCCTATTTTCTTTCCATCTATTTTTATGCTCTGAAATTTTACAGTCCATAGACAGCCAACATTTACTGGGTGCTTAAAACATGTACTTTGCAGGTATTAAGTATTTTGTATTCACAGTGTCATTAATCCTCAGAAGTCTTTCTAAGGCAAGCATTTATGTATTATTAACCTCACAGAGTTCAGGTGACTTGCCCAAATCACACAGCTAGTATGTGGCAAAGCCAAGATTCAATCCCAGGCTGTCTGACTTCTGGGCTGTTGCTTAGCCTCTGTAGCTAATGCTTCTTGCCTTTTTTTTTTTTCCTAATTAGTATTGTAGCAAAAAGTCCTTCATGCACATCAGCTTCATGACTGCATAGTATTAAGCTGTTAATCATTTAAGTTGTTTCCTGTCTTTAGCAACTACAAATAACTGTACAACATCCCCGGGCAAAGTCTGCTGCACACATTTCCAAATACTTCCTTTGAATAGAATTCCCAGAAGTAGAATCACTGGGCCAAACAGTATGAATGTTTTAAGCCCCCAGGTATATATGACAAGCTGCTTTTCGGAAAGGCTACAGCAATTTACACTTCCATCCAGCAGAGGCAACTGTGCTATAATCAAAGCACATAACCTCTAGGGACTCACATAGACCAGGGCCTCACACAACCAAGCCAGACCACACAAGCATCTCCCTGGTCTCATGGGAGAAGGAATCACAGTAATCCTGCTTTACACACACACAAGTATGATATGGAACCCATACAGTATGAAGCTGTACCCGTTTTTATGTGAACATGTGTCAGTTGCAGAATTCTCTGGCTAGAGGTCACATATTAACTTTGAACTATTGTGTAAAATGCGTATATGAGCTTAAGATCCCCCTTCTCTACACAAGTAATTAGAACAGCCCTCATTCCTATGAATGTGCATCACTACCAGCCAGACTCAGCCAACCCAAGCAATCCCTAACAGCTTCTTCACAGACTGGCCATATTCACAGAGCTGTTTGTTTCCTCTAAGTATCCAAATTCCACAACCAAACCACAGTGTGAGTTGATATCACTTTATGTCGTAACAGAGTTCACCACCCAAAAGCACTGATGTTTAGTGACTACAAATAAAGTTAAAAAATAAGGCTATACACATGATAAAAAAAATGTTCTCAGGTGAAGAAAATGTGGCCACAGGAGAGAAACTGAATTAGGCAATACAAAAAGACACAAAGGGGAAATTTTCAAAGAAAACAAATCAGCCCTTGCTCTGAGTTCTCTCTGGTTTGCTTCATAGCCACCTCTGCCACCAGCAGTGGGATTAGTGGCCCTGGCATATCATCTGTTGCTGTAAAAGGAGTAAATATCAATTGAGCCCCCACTATGAAATCTACTTATTCAAAACCACTCAGGTCTTAAAATGTTCCTCTGAGAATCCTTCCCTGACTGTTCATCTGGGTTAGAGACCTCTCTCTGCTCCACCTGTAGCACCTGTGCATACACTTGCCTCCCTATGGTAAAAATGATTTATCTGCATATCCCCCACTTAACTGTGGTCTCCCGGAAGGTACAGCTGGCACTGTACCCCCAGCACCTGAGAATTAAATGTGGTGAATGGGCACATAAGAGAATCTTCTATCGACTATGTTGGTGCTTTATGAACATTGCTCTTCTGATGCATCTTCATTCTGCTCAGACTACTCAGTCTCAGAAATGTACCTGAAAGGTGTCTAGAGCTGTGCTGTCTGTTTTCACATGGGACTATCACCATTTTCATTTAATTCGTTAAAATTAAATGAAATTTAAAATTCCATTCCGCAGTCACATTTCCAGTACTCAAATGCCACATATGGCTGCTGGCTACCATATTGGAGAATACACGTGTGGAACATTCCAATTATTGCAGACGGTTCCACTGGACAGATTAGATTGTAAGCTTGGTGCAGGCAGGGGGTGTGAGTCTTTTCCCCTGCAACCAGCACAATGCCTGGCCAGCAGAGGAGGAGGGGGAGAAAGAAAGAGGAGGGAGGGTGGTAGTAAATGTAGTAACATTACCTAAACCATTAATTGGCACCTACTTTGTGCCCCACATTGTGCTACATTTTGTATATGCATTATCTCACTTAATATTCATATCACACCGAACCTGATATTAACCCTACTTCACAAACAGGGAAAGTGAGTCTCAGAAAGTTTGGTCACAAATCTAGTAGGAACGGCTAAGTTTTAACTCAGGCCCCTATGATTTCCCAAGGGAAAGAATTGGTATAATTTGCAAATGTCAATGGCATTTCAAGAGTGTAAAATTTTGCTTGATGGGTGAGGTAAGGAGAAAGGAACCCACCTATACTGTAGCCTAACCAGAGGCCCAAAACCTCCTTAGGAGAACAGGCCAGCCAACCACCACCCTCTGTGTTTCTACCCAGTGAGACCTGTCATCACCTCCAGAGAGAAATACTTGCGTGGTCAGGATCTCACAGCCAGTTAATAGCATAACCTGGCTCCCCACTCCCTGGTCAGTGCCCTTTCCAGGCTCCATCCTGCCTCATAGGCCATTGGGTTCAGTGTCCTCACTATCATTATCACTCTTGCTCCAGTTTTCTCTAGTTTCTTCATTCTTAATGAATAAAACACAAAATGTCAGGGGAGGCCTAATCAGCACCAAGTAGAGTAAGATGATCACTTCTTTTGTTTTACATTTTATATTTCTGTTGAAACTCTGTAAGGTTGAAGTAGGAATCTATACCAGTAATACCTGTTAAGTGTAGTAT